TTTATTTGTAATTACGTGTAACGTGGCTAAGGCCCTGTCGCTTATAAGTCGTAAGTTTTGTTTTCGTCATTATTTGGAGACACATTTTATGTTGTAATAAAAAAATTTATTCATATTGCAGTTAAAATATCTAAATTGATATTACCCACCCACCGATAATTTTTTCCCATACAAAAACGGCTATTTTACACGAAGATCGCGGCTTGATATAAATTTACATTGGCAACACTGCTATCACCTTATCGATAACCGGTCAACCCGCCTGGAATTTAAAGATTTTCTGAGATTGAGGCTTTGCTCGCTTTTTTAATTCCATTGAAGACTTCGTTATTACCAATTTAAAAATACTAAAAATTCCCTAAGAATGTAATATAGATTTTACATTGTTAGGGAATTTTTATCATATAGCACAGCTTGTTTCATATGTAAATTTAATCTGTTGCATAAAATGATTACTGGAGAAGGTAATGATAGAAACAAAAGGTACTGATTAGGAAATTTAATGAAATCATTCTAATTACATTTTATACATTATTATATTACATTCAATAAAGAGAATTTGCTCTTAGATAGTAATCTAGGGTGACTACTATATAAATTACAAATTAATTCAAAAGACTTACGACGGTCTAACTACTGTTATAACTATTATTGCAGATATTTATATACAGTCGTAAAAATTTAATGAAAATACGTTAAAAGGAGATTTTATGTATCTTTATATACTACGATCGCATTGAATATAAAGGAAATTTTGGTCCAGCTAAATCCTATGCTAAGCACGATTTCTAGGAATGAGTAGAATGTAGCTTTTACAATGTACATTATAGGTTTCTTCTAAATATAGGAGAAAACATGCTTAATTTATTCATGCAAATCGAGATATTAAAATATATCAACAACATCAATTCAAATTGATACATATCACATTCTACTATAAAAATTTAAATGCATATTTATAAATATACCTTAGCCTGTATATACACAAAGACACATTTTGCTTCATTGCTATTGCTTTACATTTTCATTACTGTAATCACTTTTGCAGTAAAATATTATATTTTACGCAAAATATAAGTTTTTTCTTTCAAAGTTATTTATAACGACAAAAATGTTGCTATGTATGAAATATAATTGTTAGAGTATACATAAAGTGGCCGAGCTAAGGGTTACAGTGGTATACACTCATTTACTAATCTCACTCAAGATATACAATTTATTCAATTAAAGTACCTAATTAAAAATTATCAAGACATGTCGAGTACATTACTATTAATTTCAATAATAACAGTGAAATGCTTAAAAATTACTAATCATATGGAATTATATAAATGACAAAAGTGTTTCTTGAGATAATGTCTACAATTTTACTACCATTTTCATCCTATGTATAGTTGTTTTCAAATATCTTAACGGCTCTGAAGTTCGCGCGAATCGCTACGCAATTTTAGGTGGAGCAGGATGCTAATAGACCGGCAAGATATTTGAAAAGAACTACAACTCAATTATGATATAATTTTCAACACTTGAATGTTGGTCTATCTTATAAATGAACAGTTTATACCTTTATAGGTTATAATTAAGGCGAAATACTAAGTCACACTAACTACCATCAATCTTTCGTAGACGATACAAATTAATTATAATACTAATAAATACAAAATACCATTATTTGAAAAATACTTTTGAGATTGCTAGACCACGGTTTTATTTATGCTATAGCAGAGTGAGACTAAAGAGTTAGAAACTAATTTGTCGTTTTGAAATACGCCTAATAATCCTGTTTTTCAAGTATTAGCAATAATAATAAAACACAATGTGGTAAAACGACGTTTTTTACTTACTTTCCTAAAAACGTACGGCACTAAAATAAAGGAACATAACAAGCTTGTACAAAAATTACATATGTTTAAAGTAAAATTACTAAATTAAAATTTCATATGATAGAAAATTATTGATTCTTGAGAAATGTAATTACTTATCTAAATGTGGCAACACTGCCGGAGATACATTTATTATAGTATTGGAGAATCAATTCTCATATGGCCTTACATTTAAGAATATCTTTTATCTTCCAAATATTTTTATACAATTATTCTTTATTGAATATTACATCCTAAAAGTAACAATGTTTACAATACAATGATTATTTTTTATATGAAATTCATAAGTTCACTACAATTACAAAGAAGTATCACTTTCTATCTTAAAGTAATGAAAATTATTTAAAATGAATAGTTTTTACATTTAATCTGACAACCGCGAACATCAAAACAAGTGTTGCAACATTGAATTAATAAATATTTTTAACGATTAAATAAAATATGCTAATTTTAGCAAAGTTATAATTATCATTACAATATAGCCAGATATGTGGATTTATTTATTTCACTGCAGAAAAGTTTTGGATTTGGTTGTTTGTGTTGGATGCCACCCATGAGCTGAATACATCTCTGGAAACAAATTAAATCATTATAACACAAAATACGAATTAAAAGGTTATATTTGTGATTTTATAAGGAGGTTTATTGTTTCATTGTCTTGAAAATTCTAAAAAAACTATGAACATCTCATGAAGCCTGCTACACAAGTCTAGATTCAATTAAAGTCGAACTGTGTACACTCATAATTCAATAATGGGATTTCTAAATATTTTTACCATAAACTAATTATTTAATTACATTCCGTAAGATTTTCATTTGCAGATGTCAAAATTCAAATGCTTAAAAGACAAAATATATGGGAATATATTTACCCCTAAATTAGTGTGCAAATTTATAGCGTATCGTATATAGTATGTCGTGAGTGAGGGTTTTTTTAATAAACAAAAGAATTACTTAAAAAAATATGCTAAGATTACTGACATCCTACATAACAAAGAAGTGTTTTTATGCTTTATTATATTAGTACAGATAGTTAAGGTATGAGGTGGTATATCGGGCACCGACCTGCAGTGGCTGACGACGCACTCATTGGAGCAATACTCATCTTCCCATTCACTGTTAGCAATTGCGGGGTTGGTGCATCCCTGTCTGATGCACGACGCCACGCCTCGCCCTTCGCTTTGCTGAAACAATACTTAACAATAATGAAACAAGTTATCTTATGATATCTGTTTATAAAACATTTTCAGATTACAAAAAGAATATTTAAAAATTCAGACAAAGAGAATAATTCTATTTTGGAGTAAATGTGACAAGTGAGATAAATGATAATGTAACTTTGACATGCATAACAACTTATTTTGATGTAATATTCAAATATTTTAGGTTTTCAACATTATTTTGACAATGATATTATACATTAAAGCATTAAATTACATTTTGAATAATAATTACCTCGGGAGATTGTTGGGGCATGCCACCAGGGTTGCCATTGTTGCTTGGTGATAGTGGTTCATTTTTAACTTTAGCGTTCTGTTGTTGAGGTGGCTGCTGATGTTGTGTATGATGCTGTTGTTGCTGCTGCTGATGTTGCTGGTGTTGCTGTTGCTGATGTTGTTGCTGCTGTTGTTGTTGCTGCTGCTGCTGGTGTTGTTGTTGCTGCTGGTGTTGCTGCTGTTGTTGTTGGTGCTGCTGTTGTTGTTGGTGTTGCTGCTGTTGCTGCTGATGATGTAATTGCTGTTGCTGATATTGCTGTACTTGGTGAACTTGCTGCATCTACATAAAGTTAATTAGATTAGTTGCAATGGTTTCATGTCAATATGGTTATAATATTCAATTATTTCTTTTTATAAATAAATTAAATTTACGCCTTTGTTTCATAATCATTAGCATAATTTTTAATACTTAAAACTTCAAAAAAGGTTACATATTTATGGCCAATGGACATTGTAATTTTTTCCTTAGGTTGATAAAAGGTCTTTGTGTATTCTAAATTCAAAAATTTTCTTAGTTAGGTACCTGTTGGTTGTGGTGGTACTGCATAGCGGTGTGAGCGGGCCCCATGGGTGGGGACTGTGTCTGTATCTGCCTGTAGCCGGGGGGAGAGACACCGGGCGGTGACTGGAAGTTATTGGGTGAGGGAGCCGGCTGGTAACTCCTCGGCGACTGGGCGATGCTCGGCTGGCAAGCTTGAGGTGATGCTGCAGTGTTTACTTGATAACCCTGAGGATTTTGTCCTGGAACCCCCTGTTAGGATAAGCATATCTTTATATTATTTTTGAAAAATTGTTTTATAAAAAATTTAAACGTTCAATTAATTGGGAGGTAAATATAATCCTAGAAAGAGATGGATGGATTGCGTGAAAAGTGGCATGATCAAGAAGGGAGTGATGACTGAGATGACACATAACAGAATAATTTGGAGGACGAAAACCCGGTGCGCCGACCCTATGGGAGCAGGATAAGGTACTGCATATAATAAAACATATATAACTTTATATATTTTAAGAACAGATGGGATAATGTAGTTGTAATGTAAATTAGGATTTCCTTACTTGATATGCTTGCGGGGGAGGGTGTCCCATATTTCCCTGGTAATTTTGTGAAGATTGTTGTGCATTTGGAGGGTAAGCAGGTCCAGTTTGTCCCTGGTATGCAGTTTGAGGTTGTCCTCCTGTATAGTTTTGTGATGAAAATGTCTGTGGCGTAGAATTTGGTACATAGCCTTGCGGAGTATGTCCATTGCCATAGTTTTGCCCTTGGTAGTAGTTACCATATGAAGAATTGGTATTAGAGTGATTATACATCACTTGGTTTTCTTGTTCTCCTCCCTAAAGAGTACAAAGAAAGCATGTTTATATCAAATTTTTATTTATAGGTACTTAGTATAATAAAACCTGTATTCTAAGTTATTTTACCAATGAAATGGAGAGGATTAATTTGTCTGAACTTGAAAGTAAAAACATTTAAATTCAGTTCTATAATATGGTGATTTTGTCAAACGAAATCTCCTCAACAGTGACACTTATCTATAGTGTACATATAAATACATAAGTAATAATATTTATTGTTTATCCATTTATTTTCACTCAAGATACTGCCACATACAAGCTCAAGTTACTTACCCCGAATACATAAAATACTATCTTAAAGTTCTAAAACTATGGGTTGACAATTTTAGTATGTGACTGAGTCTTCATACTTCAGTTAAATTTGATATTTATAAAGTTTTGTTTTATGATTCACTATTTTTAAATATCATAGGTAAGGTAGCGGAGGTTACCTTTTTTCTCTGTGTTAGATTAATTGTAAATAACATACTGGGTACAACAGAAAAGAAATAGCAATCTCTTAGCAAAAATACAATGACTTTTCATGACAAAACGAAAGCTCTTATTTAAAAATAAGCATTTATTGAAATCTATAAATTAATTTTAATTCGCCGGAGATTTGAGTGAGTTATATTTTTTGTTAGTTATCAAAAATATGCTAATGCGTTTTATAATTTACGAACAAAGATCATAAGTAAGGTTATGTATAACTAAGAATATTGGTATATTTGTTTTGAAACTTGTCAACATATATTTAAATTAAAATAAAATGGAATTAAAAAGAAATATCAAACCTTTTACCAGGTTGCAAAAACACAAAGGACAAAGAACAAAGACGCCACTCACTCTTGTTTAATAATTTACAACAAGAGATTTACTTTTAATTCACAATTAAAAGAAACGTTTTTAAAAAATAAATCGTAAATTATAACGCACCAAGAAACACGATATCTCAAGAAGTCTATTTATTTCGATTGAATTCGGCGACGCTCGGAAATTAGCATCGACAAAGCGTTTGAGTGTTGCCAACATAAATTTAACGTTAGGTGTGGTTGCGTTCGGAAATAGCAGATTCGTTATATGATCAATTTTGTGAAAAAAATTAAAAACATAACACGTTACTGTAGTTAAAAACCATTTAACCGATTATTTTATGTAATTCGCTTATATCATTGTATACCGTTTTAAAAAATGAATAGTCGACAGAGAGTAACCGTGTAGTTCTTCTTAGGTTTACTAAAGTCACGATTCAATCTTGAGACTAATCCAATATTACATTCGTGTATTAATTCGCCATTTAGGTGTGCTGTATTTTATTATATTTCATCATTGTAATAACAATTCATAGCGCTGAATTTAGATGCTAGACCGTTCGAAACTTAATATGTAAATCTGACAGTTAGCACTATGCACCTTTTCTAACTTAGTGACTAGCGCGCATCCAGTCTTGCCAGTGGAAAGGGGTTTTAATATATTCTTTTTAACTTTATCTTAGGCAGTACCTTTTACCTTGTATTAATATACTTATTTGGGAACTGCGAAGACAACCGCCTCCTTCATTGTTCTGACACTCCTGGATTTAATAAAGGATCAGGAAAGTAGAAGGAATAAGGGAGTTTCCTTTGCTGCATAAGATAATGGGAAACTGGGCCATATACATAATGTAAATATATGTTTTGAATGAAAGGGGAGTTTTATATTATATAGGTCCATGTTATGAAGTGGGCGAGTGTTCTAAAGCATTGTCTACTCTGTGCTATACATGTTTCAAATTTAATTTCAGGCATTCCACAAATCAACATTATATCAACATGTTTTAAATCCCAAAGCTGCCGAGGCTTCAAGGGAAATGGAGCCCCAGCTCCCCTCCTTTTAATTACATCATTTACTGCATAGAACATAAGGCCACATACCAGTATATGCATTTTTTTATAGGATAACTAAGCATAAGGTTGACATACTTTTGAAAATGTTAATTCAAGTTAAGAAAGGTTAAGATGAAGATTTTTCTTAGTCTTACCAATCACTGAACAACTACCATCTTTTCCATTTAATTTAGAAGTGCTTAACCATTGTTATGTATTTTAGTAGTTACTTCATAATTTAACCACCTCCTGCTTTTATTAAGGCATAGTTATGTTGTTAAATAATAAACTACAATTATTTTATTAATAAGTATTGAATATTTACCTTACAAACAAGGCTAGCTCTATATGCAGCTAGTGCCTTAAGGTATTCTTTCTTCGCTACTTCTGTTTTCTGTTTGTAAACCTGTTTGAAATTGACATTGTAAAGTTTGTTTTTTATTTTCAAATAATTTTTTATTGTTACAGTTCTTTTCTTTAACTTACACTTTTATGTTCGGAATCTAGCCCATCCCACATTGATGCAACAATTTTGGATACTTCACCAAAACTTGCATTAGGGTTCTGACCTTTGATAGCAGCTTGAGTATCACGAAAAAATAAGGCATATGCAGAGACCGGTCTGGAAAGATAAAATCTCTTTAGTTTTAATACCAAAATTATGTTTTAGTAAATTATAAAATAGAGCTTGATTTAAAGTGAATTTTAATATCTTTACAACTTACTTTTGAGGTTCGTTAGGGTCCCGTTTCTTTTTCTTTTTTTGAACTTTTGGTTTCTTTTGCATTTGTCCCCGATTGATACCATTGTCCATTGGTTCAGGGGATGACCTTTTAACACCTATGTTACTGACTCCCATCTGTATAAAAAGATAAATATATTAGATTTAAGAAATAATATTTATAGTCCATTGGCAATACAATCTAGTACTACTAAAGAAGACTATAGATTATATGAAAGCGATAAAATTTGCCTATACCTGATGAAGCGTAGTTTGTTGCTGCCGGCTCGCTGAGCAATAATGGATCGGCAGAAGGCTTTCCGCATCACCAGGCAACTACCAACAAACAACCAATTGATTAGAATTTTCTACATTCGACAGTTTTTTAATGTTATAAACAAAAAAAAGTTGTATGCCAATGAACTATGTGAAATAAAAATGGTATTTTGTGCATGTACATCATAAATTTGCTTAAACATAAAAATGTATTCAACTATCTATTATATTTTAAATGATTAATCAATATTTAAATAAAACAAGCATGAGATGCACTGTAGCATATAAATGAATAATTTTTTATTTATGTAACAAAATAAATCAATGTAATCAACACTGTCTCAACATTTTTGACCAAATTTGAAAGAACATATAGTTAAAATTAACCTGTGAGTGTTGTGATGGTACACTGTCATCAGAATCATCGCTGGTGGTTCCCGGTGGTGAAGCCTGCTGGGGTGACCCATAGACAGGTCCGGGTTGAGTTGGAGTACTGGGGGTTGGTGGGCCGCTCATCACTTGAGATGGTTGCATCATCAGCAACCGCTGCTGCCCCCCAGGTTGTTGTTGAATTATATAATTACCAGCTGGAGCTCCTGCACCACTAAAAAGTAATTTGCTTTGTTATATTGGATTTAGAATAATAAAATGAAATCTTTATCAAAACTCAATATGAAAATTTTAATAGTTCCTATGGAAATCAAATTGTGTATTGTTAAACATATTTACAATACAATGATATCGTCTTTTTTGAAAGCCATTGCCAAAACCTAACCTTCTTTCACAGATAAATACCCTAATATTTTACCAAATTAACGTGAGATATTACCGGTGTTTTGGTGATCGAAATTCATAACAATTAACCTTTTAATGTAACAAACCTGTGTGATGTTACTGGTGTGTGGGGTTCTTGCAAGTAGAGAGGTTGTTGATAAGAAGGGGCACCGCCTGGTGGTGCTAAGCCATCTTGCGCCGGATTCATCATTCCAACCTAAGACAATCAAAATTCTTCATTTTAAGTAGTTTCAATCACTACCATTATCTTCGAAATCATCCCCAGAGCTAGTAAAAATTTAAAAACTTATAGAAAAAAAAAACAAAACAAAAAGAAAAAGAAAAAATGGACTTCTTCCTACGTTCACTGTTCAGTATTCTGATGACAGATGGTATTGAATGAATGATTATGGCTAGTTATGGCAACGTTATGTTGATGTATGAATGTTGCCAAAGCATTAATGTTTGTAATAAGAAACATCGATGTTTTGATAACAAATGAAATGTGAGTATCAATTTTAATGGTTTGTTACCCCAACATAAATTATAATTCGGAAACTTTTATTTTCGTAAATACAATAATAAATCAGAGAACACAAAAGATCTCTTTTGGATTATAAATATGGTTACATGGTTATACCACCTTTAACTTGGTAATGAGCACAAACATTAAAAACCTACAAATTCGACTGACTATATCTTATGACAGAATGCGAAACGATTGACAGGTCTATCCTTTAACCCATTTTATTTCAAAAAGAACGAGGTTGTCAATATTTTTTTCCCCAAGTGCAGTGCTTCGGCAATGGAAACGTACTGTAAAAGCCAGTTAAGAAAAAAATGTCTTGTAGTGTAGATGTTATAAAAAATATAATGTTAAGAACAGTTATACGACTCTGGAGCAAATGGCTGGCTTCTCATATATAGCGAAAACTTTTTCATCTAAATAGATTAATGTAACTTGACATTCATCATTCGTAATGTCTCAGAAAATGTTAGGAAATTACATCGTTTTTACGGTCGTGATATTTTACTGCCTCGTATCAAAGAAAACATCGTAATATTTTTCGAGAAAGATGGCTTATATCTTTCCAACGTGGCAAATGTAGATAAGATATGGTTAGGTGGTAGACAGGATTACAAAACTTTAGCAATAGCTAGCTAATAATGATATTTCATTAAGTTACATTTTTATACTAATTATGAATAATTTAACTTATAAACTATTTTAAAAAAGTCCATATGCCATGAAATGAATATGCTACAAAAATACAAATAAAAAATAACATAATTGTTGTATTATGCCCGTAATGCTTTTATCTGTTTATTTACAACAATATGATTTATTCTATAAATTGTATGAGAAACTATCATTTAAATAAATGTTAAGACCGTAATGCACATATTTTGTATGCAATCACAATCATAATCAGCAAAATGCAAATAAATGCTTACGATAAGTAATGTTTACTTGTGTAGGTTAGGTACTAAACGTTTTAATATAGCGTAAATCTTATGTTTGTCTTTAAGATATTCTATAAAGGTTCTTGACAACATAATGTCATATTAAAATATTACTTGTATCTAATAATATTTAAGTACAGTAGATAGAAATCCCAAATATAAATGCTTCACATAAAATAGTCAATGATAGCCATTGAACGGCAATTCAATTTCAATAAAAGCAATCTAAAAAGTAGGCCAGATAATCGAGGACGCATTTCGTAAAATTGGTATCGGCACGGCTGCAGAATAAATTTATATAATTATAACAAACGCTAATAACTCAGTTACAGGTAGTAAACCTAACGAGTCACGGGTTTGAACTCTGAACCGTACTAAAAAGGAGCTAGTTTAGTACTGAAATTGTAACAGTTCATCTGAAACTAACTCGCATATAAGAAATAAATAAATATTAGATTATTAATTATTGAGTATTAATGTTTCGATGTGAATATTTTTGTTAAAATTTTGCAAATAAAATAAAAGAGAAAAGCAAAGTTATAGCTTCAAGAAATAGAATGACTTTTACGACTGCGCAATCTAATTTTATGCGTGTTTCGAAATAAGCTCACTGCTTTCTATAATACTTGGTCTGTTTAAAAAAAGAACCAAGATAATGGATAAGTTCCAAACATCTTGTATATTTATAATATAGTTAATACTTCATTTTTAATACATTGATTTTAACTAATTACTGTCCTTTGTATTATTCGTGTACACGTTATATTTCTCGTAAGATTATTTAATGGTAATTTTTTTAAATACAATTTTATGATTTACGATGAGAGACATGTTTCTTAACATATTTACAAAATATTTTAGTCGGAAGTATTTTATCGCAGACCGAGTAGTTACGATAAGTTTTGTTTACCTATACGTTCAGTATTCCAATAAGATAGCGTAGATTTGACTTCTAAATATTTTTGGTATTCTAAACATATAAAGTATGTTTCGACAATCAGTCTGGTTATATTATAAAAAGTTTTGATATATTCCGTTTCCATTAATGATTGGATCCACGAATCTGGGCGTTTTTATGGCATCTAAAATCTGTTATTTTTATCGCATGTGGCGACCTCTGGAATAGTGATTTAGTAACCATAGTTAAGTTGGCACATCCGGCAGAATGGTACTTATGTCTGTACGTGCCAAATTAATTGCTGTGTACTAATTTGGTGATAATACCAACCTGTGGCGCGGAGTGGTGTATTTGTGCGTATTGTATTTGTGTGACGTGCGTAGCGCCACCTGGTGCATGCTGTCCGTGCATCAGTGGAATGTCGAACTCTTCGTCTCCAAAAGATGGCGTATGAAAGGTCTAAAACAATGCAATTATGTTTAATCAGGGTTAAGGGTCTATAGTTTTATTAAAACATTTGAAATAAACCTGTGCGTTAAACTTTTGCCTTACTATCCACTGTACATGGTACATTTAATAAATATACAAAATTCTTCGCATTCTTTCTTAACATTTTTTTGTATTTACATTTATTACATTAAATGGTTCTTTTATTCGGCTTTCGGAGTAGCAATTGTCTGTAACGACGCAAAATCAAACATTTGAGGTTTTTTTTAAAACATCACAGCTTTTTATTGACTAATAATAATTGATTATATGCTTCCCTTACATCACCACAAAATATCCCTGTACATTATATCTGCGAGCACAGGTACACATTTCGTAATTTGAATAACAATAAGAAAGTCGTTATGAGAAAATTATGTACCTACAAGAAGTTAATTCAACGAAATGGCAATAAAAAGCTCTTAGTGTAATTGTACCATTGTTGTTTTGCTCTATTGTGGCTTGTCGTGTCACAAGTCATTCATAATATTTTCTTCATATTTCTACATGAGTAAAAAGTTTTTGAAAGGCCATATTTTTAACAATAATATTGTTTGTGATGTTAAAAATAGACATAAGCCTTAATAATTATTTGTGGTAGAAATTGTAAGATAGTCTTGTCTTTGCAGTGGTAATCTATATCTATACTAATATTATAAAGAGGAAAGATTTGTATTTTTGTATGTATTCGATTCAAGAAAAAACTACTGGGCCGATTTTAAAAATTCCTTTACCATTAGAAAGGTAATTTATCTGTGAGTAACATAGGCTATGTTTGATGAAAAGCGTATAAATACTCCGGCGTTAAAAATTAACTAAACTTTAACTTTTCTCTGCTTATGCTGCCTAATTACATATATTTTGCCTATTAGAGGTTTATCCTACTTCAGTTTTTCATAAACAAATAAACCAAAAATATTTTTATTTGTAGACGGCTATTTTAAATCACTCATTCGAGGCCGGTAAAAGACGATTGAAGCTCAGTAAATAACATAGGGAAAGAGCTTCAAACTGATAATGTGAAAACTAATATAATTATCCCACTTTCTACATCAGGAACATGGATTTATTTAAAACTAGCTGTTCCTGTGCGGCTTCATTCGCATGAAATTGTAAAAATTTTATTTTATTGTTTACATTTGTCAAATTATCAATAGCAAATGTCGAAATGACATGACAGGACAAACCTTGGCAATCTTGCTTCCTTGATGTTGGCAGCAACTTATGGTCTCTTTCCCACATTAGGGTTTTTAGCCAAAATATTTACCCCTAAGTTTAATGGCGTAAAAATATATAGCCTAAAGCGTGACGTAAGTGAAGGACTTTTTATTAATAAAAGAATTATTCAAAGACATGCTGTGATTGCTGACATCTTAGGCAACAAAGAATTGTGTGTTTACGCTTTATTATAATAGTATAGATAAGTATAGATATGGAATGATTTTGAATATTTAAATTAATTTTTAATATTACATTTACTTTTACATAGTAACATTTCAATATCTATGCGTGACTAATTAGTGTAATATTAAAATTAAATGTTATAATACACTCGGAATATTAAGTGCAAGGTTACAAATCAATAGCACTCAATTTGATGAGTGTACCAATTGCAGATGAATACATCAATCATATACAGTTTAATTTCAAGGATAATACAGTCAGGAGCGTACACAGATACACAAGATTGAAACATTATTTTCCATTATGTTATTAAACATATTAAATTTAATAGTTGATATATTTTCGTACTAATTTATTAACCCTTGAAGGGAACATAAATTTTGATGGAAACTGATTTGTTTTGCAACAAACTTCAAGTAAACTTATAATCGGTTTTCTGGATCTAAGGAAACTGACTAACAAACTCTTGTTCTTTCGCTTGTCTATATTAAGATTGACATCTATTTTTCGAAATATACAAGCTATTTAGACCATGGAGATCTCAATGGAAAGGAAATATGCGCCTAACAAAGTAGGTAAAGATCTAGTTTTGTGTTCTAAATTGCAATACATTTATAATTATAACTAGCTATTGTTCGGGACTTCGTCCGCGTATAATTAAAAAATATAGTCACAGATGTTACTCACAGATAAATTTCTCTTCTAACGGTGGAAGAATTTTTAAAATCGACCCAGTAGTTACTGCGCGAATCAAATAAATACAAAAATACCAATCATTCTCTTTATAATATTAGTATAGATAAGAAAACAAAGATAGAATAAAAATAGAAAGGGCATTACAAACCTGATCATTCATAGCGTACACGCTTTGCTTGGTATCACGAGGACCGGACAGCGATGTCTCAAGGCTTTCGGGACGCTGCAAAAAAATACAAAAAAAAAACTTTAATACATCTACGTTATACATTGAAAGAAAAAACTGTCAACTTATAAATTGTAAAATGCGATGTTTTAATAATAAACGGAAACCACCTTTTATTTCGAATAAAGAATATTTTATAAGAGAGAAAGAATGCAGGTGTTCCGGGTAGTTTGCGCTCGGATAAGAGCCATTTATAATGTCCTTAGTCATAATTTACTGAATAGATTAAAAAAATATAATGAATGTATAAATATTTTTATAGAAGAAACTTTTTCTTTCCTTTATTAAGCTATTGACAAGTGCCTTTTATATTTAACGGTAATAAAGCACGTAGTAATAATCTATTCAGGAGGGATTAACAATTTTTATTTTAAACAACTGATTCTTTCTTTATCTTTATTAATAGACTAGCTTTTTCCCGCGATTCAGTCCGCGCGGAATTAAAAAAAAAAAACAAATGCAAGTAGCTTATGTGTTCTTTCAGATTATCCTCTACATCTTTGCCAAATTTCTTCGAAATCCGTTCAGCCGTATAGGCTACAAACTCTAACAAACATCCATCCATCTAAAATTTCGCATTTATAACATTAGTATGATTTAATTATCAGATTAATAAAAATGAACCGCGTTCAGTTTTTATAATACGCCTGTAACTTCTATCTGTTATTTCGTATGTCGTGAATTATGATTTGTAATAAATAAAAGCAGAATTGTGTAGTTGAGAATGGCATTTGAACGCAACTTTATAGCTGTTTGCTATTGCAATATTAAGAAACACTAACTGGATTGAGAATTGGCGCACTTGATTGCACGAAATAAATATTCTTGTGATACTTATGAGCAACAGGTTTCAATTGTCTATTTTATTGTCATTTTGTTCTGTATCTTTGAGCACTAGTAACATCATAAATTCGATTCCCGATAATCTAAGGATCCGTCGGGTGTCCATATAAATATAATCACGAAAAATATTTCAAGTTATTATAAAATGTATAAAAGGAATCTTTGTAACTTAAAGGCAATTTATACTTTAATTTAAATGAAAGGAGCTATTTCGAGGCAGTCCAAGTTGTAAGTGAGAAACTTTTAAATTAACTTTTCGTTTGGAATTTATATCAAAAATACGTTTTTTCAAATACTTGCTTTCTTTAAAATTCCATGTTAGAAGGAGAAATCTTATTGTGTAAACAGTAACCTATTATGATATTAAATTAATACTTTGTTATGTCGCTGGCATAAATAATTACTGCCTACTCGACATGGATAGACAGCACAATTAATAACAACGGCAAATAAAATTATATGTTCATATTTACATTTTAATTAAATGTATAGACTACGCCAAATTAGAGTTCTTTAACTTGTTTGAAATGAAAAGCAAAGAAAATCTCCGTTGCAATAGAAATGCTGAATTACATGTTTATATTTCTATTAATACATGAAAATTTTGTAACCATTTTAACCGACTTCAAAAAAGATCGTAATTTAGATATTTTTATGAATAAAAATTACGCCGAAGTTTATAATCCATTTTAGGAAATATTTGATTATGGATCACTAATAAATATAAAATAGTAAATATTCGTACCAATAAATTTCAGTTTAAAGCCATCATTGCCAATTGTCATGTCACTAAAGGGTTTTCCAAACGATGGTTTAAGTTTTTTTATCCAAATTTGTCACTATTACCATTTTCCTGAAGGCTTTTAATAGCTTTTTATGCTATTCTACTTAAAATGTGAATTCCTAAAAATTACCTAGACACAGTATTTTGCAATTCTGTCACCCCTTATGTCACTTAAATGACAATTAACTTGTCATTCTCTAATTGAAATTTGACAAGTGATATTTCGATTTGTCAATTTATTCCGTCTTGTTAGCGATTCCAACATGTCAGTTTATCATTAGCAATTTGCATTTTTGGCAAAGCAAATAGATTGTCAGTGTTTTTAAAGCTTTACAAATGCCAAAAATTATTTTAACTTATATTTATAAGTAACTAGCTTTCGCCCGCGACTGCATCTGCGTGGTATTCAAAAAAACAAAAATAAGTAGCCTGTGTTTTCTTCCTGACTATCCTCTACATCCATGCCAAATTTCATCGAAATCCGTTCAGCAGTTTAGGCTACAAACTCGAACAAACATTCATCCATCCATCTATCCTTTCGCATTTATCACAAAATATTAGAAAGATTAGTAAGAAGTAAGATTTATATAGTGCAACTTTTTATACCAGCTATATGGTCCGGGATAGTTTACTGGTTGGTTTCCTACGCCCATTCAATACTATATTAATATTTATTGTGAATTCAATTTAATCATGGTCTTCGTCAACAACTTCCATCAATAAAGTACGTCCCCGGAGATTACTGCGTGACCCAACTCGAGTTAACTAGTTTCGTTCTGAGGATTTCACTATCAACAAATCTATGTAGTTTTTATTTATGTGATTATAGTTGGTATAGTAATATTAATAAACATATTTACTACAAAAATTAAACATCTGATATTAATTACTTATTACGGTACGGTTGATAATAGTTGGAAGGAGAGTTAAAACTTACGTTTTTGTATGTTATTTTTTTAAAGTACATTAATGTTCAACAATACGAGAGTTTTAAAAGTGATTTAAGATAGTACATAAAGCGTAGATTTAGTATCGAAATCATAGCAAAGGACAGAAACGCGTTTAATTCATTGCTTTTCAGAATGTGTGCCTTGTGTTTTTAGTATCCACTATTAAAAAAATCTTTTAATTTATAATAAAATTGTAAAATCATTATCAGGTGATCTTAAATTGTGAATCATTACAGTTGTGACAGATTCAAGTTATTGGTGTGTAGTTGAACATTAAGGGTGGGTTATTCCTATTTAAGATAGCATCCTTATTTGTCTTAATTATGATAAAAGATAAAAACCTTATAATGGATAAGTAAATGTTTTAATCTAAACTAATATAATAAATCGTAAACACAAAATACTTTGTAGCGTAAGATGTCAGCAATCACAGCACATTTTAAATAATTCTTTCTTTAATAAAAGCCCTACACTTACGTCACGTTTTATTTTTTCACGTTATTAAACTTAGGGGGTTAATAAATTGGACAAGAACCCTGATGTGGGAAAGTGACCATAAGCTACAAGTTGCCAACATCAAGGAAATAAGATTGCCATGGTTTGTAGTCTTCCCATGTCATTTTGAATAAAATAAAATTTTCACAATTTTATGCGGGTGAAGTCGCACGGGAACAGCTAGTAATGATATATTCGTTGACATTTTTGTGTTTATCAGCTAATAGAATAAACTATCGAATGATAATGAGAATCAAGATTATGTTTTGTTTTTAATGATAACCAGTTATTCGCAAATAGTTCAAATTGCTTTACATTTCCATGACTCAGCATACATTTTTAAATATTTCTCCGATGTAGTAAACGAAAAATCATATTTCGCAATACAAGTAGCTGTTTACATGCTTTTATATGAGAGATGAATGAGGATAAAGAGTGAATGTTTAAAAGTGTGTTGTAAAGTAAAACGTAGTCTGGTATGTAATAATATTCAATAGGCTGGTGACATACTAAATAAAGGTGAAAGGTTATTAAAAGGAAGTTTTATCAATAGCTCTCTCGCTAGCCTATGGCATTTTTATCCCTGGGATTAGCAAAGTTTTCCAACAATCGTTTGCCGTTAAGAAAATAAAACTATCTTTATTCGTGCCAATCCAACAAGAATTGTTTTTGTCAAAATGTAGAAATTTTATTCCTAACCTATAAAATGGTACTAAAAATATTGAAAAACATCACAAATAAGTGGATGTAATAACATGATTCCATTAAAAAAACGTGTAAATCTCTTCGCGTCTAAATCATAACATGAATACAATTTTAATCGGCGTTCCAAAAATCGATTGATCAATATTGTGTAGTGCCTTGACTACAAGTCGGTCTCATTCCTCTCGGACCGGTTTGTGTGGCTGTGGCACACCGGCTGCTGCCCCGTCAGCCCGCCAGCACGCCACTACCACTGGGCCTTTATACACATTGCACGGCCACGTTATGCCGCTAACATCGAGTAAGTGAAAGGACACGCAGATAATTGCTTTCTGTGCTATTTTGTAACATAATCAAGTAAACATTACTACCGATTCCTATGCATACTCGAGCAAAAAGTTGTAAAAAAAACGATTTTAAATGCTAATTTATGCAGGCCAATTACAACATCCCGTCGTTTAAAAATGGAACGGTTAATGAATACCAAATTGATTCAATTTTTGCGACAATTCGAAACAAGAATGAACAAAACTTTATCAATAAATCTCTATCGTAACGCTCTATTCATAACGATTGTATGATTGTAATACGTTTTTAGAGCGTGGAAAGTAGAAAGTTTAAAAGTGGGTAACTTTAATAATTCGTCGAAAACTATCTATTTGCTTATATTGTGTACTTTTGTAATTTTAATATTTTTATGATACATTTTTTAAAACTTTTCATACGATGATGCAGGGACAAAACGCGTCCAATGGTAAATAACGTACCGTAGCCGCACGGTTCGACTCCATAATAGATGTGGCCTGTGTTGTGTGGTGGAGAACTCTTAAGGAGAACATAATTGCCGGTCGGTGACCTCGTTTAGTTCCTCCCACTAAAATAGCGTTAAATCAATTGATGTTATTACAATTGGAACGCATCGTAACCTGCTTACATTATGTATGGGAATATCAAGTTTATTTTCATTACAATAAGATTGAAATATACATTTTAAACATAATGGTAGTTTTTATTGAGCGTTTCTTCCAAAGTTATTTCAACATCGGAGTTTGAAACATTTTAAGACATGGTTATTATATCTTTTAGTTTTAATCTTATGGTAGTTGGTTTCTTATTGGAAACTATCTTTTTAATTATGTTCATGTGTATTACATTTGTTCAGATACCGTAAAACTATATTAAAATATTGATAATTAAATTATATTACACTATTAATATTTGTACTGAGGTTCAAATTCATTTGTACGTTATGTTTAGAGCCTAGTATAAGTATCACTTATAACTCTTTTATTGGAGGTTAGTTAAGTACGTTTTAAGTTATGGTTATTTTAAATGTAGTCTCGTCGTGTTATAGAACATTCATATTTGAAATTACTTTTTATCATGGCAAAACAATCAAATATATTAGTTCGGTGAAAGTTAAAGATAATGCTAGTTTACAGCCGATTATTATATTTATGAGTTTTGAATTTAAACATAAATATGTACAAGGTTAAGGCGTTCCTACCTACTTTACGAATTTACGTTTTATACATGACAATCATTAACATTTGTTTCTTATCTTAATATCAGTTACTGCCTACATATCTTACGTCCCACTTTGTCACCAGATAGTGATATTTATCAGCATTTGTATACTTAATGATATTTTTACAATAACCTACTGAAATGTCGTCTAATACATCTACATGATACATAGTTTAAAGTTTTATTTATAATTTAACTTTATAATTACCTGCAATAAGATAAAAATGATCGTTTTTTGCTATAACCAGATAACATCGCATGAAATTGATTAACGTCTAATTCAATTAGACTTAACTTTGATTACATATTTCGTCGTCTGGAACTTCTTCAAACTTTCCATCAATCAAGTATTTCACATTGCATTAAAGAAAACATTATAAGTAATATTAAGTAGAAAGTTAATTACCCACCATTCAGGTCGTTGTGTCCGCCATATGTTTTATCCAGTTTAATTCATCTAATAAACTTCAAACATTAATTTAAAACGTTCCGGTTCCATGTAAGATCTAATTAATCTATCGAGGAAGTAAGAAATAACAATTAAAGTTCTTATTGTCGGAGCACTGAAATAGTTGCACAGTACGTTAGTGTTGTAACGTAGCACGTCGGGGCACAAAGTGGTGACACATAGAGTTTTTTTTTTGTTAGTAATTGCCGCACTTCGATGTTAGCATTTAGTTCGTATTCGGTTTGAATGTTTGCGGAGCTGTATAGACACGCTAGGCACACGTGCGGACCGCGCGGGAAGACTGCGTGGCGGTCGCGGCGCGCGCCGCGGCGGGGCGCCGCGTTCCTCTAGTGCGCTCGCCGTCCGCACCGCGATGATGGCGCTGCTACTTCATGCAACCTAAACATTGCTTATGCCCTGTCTGAAAGCAATTCAAATCACCCATACTAAATTATTTTACTACAGAGAAAATGTCTAAGCTGAATTATCAGCAATAGGCAAATTTTGTCTTGATTAATGTAACTTGTTTCGAAAATTTAAAATAACAGTCATCCTTCTGAAAAGTTAATAGCTTAGGCTTACATAATATTTTTCTCTAATGCATTTAACTATCTAGTATGGTAAAAATGTTTAAAAATGAGACGGAGTTTGTTTTTAAATTAAGGACCATTTGTGTGGAGTGGTTAATAGCTGTTCGCGGAGTATTAGGGCGGTTTACTCATAAGTTTTTACCTCGGATTCGGGATAGATTCCAGGAATGGGCACGATAAGGGTTCATAACTGTTTAGTTTTAGTGTGGGTTTGTGACAAAATATTATTATTGTGTTCTCTGTTCTGTCAGAGTTTATGTAAATTATGACAATATGAATTATTAAAAGTGATATTAGAGAGTTGTAAGATTAGGATTACAGTTAGTTATTATATAAAACTGTAAATATGTATCTGTAATCTATTAAAGAAAACATTGGCACCAAATGATTTTATATCCAGTAACAATTAAATTTTCCCGAAGTAAAGTGCATTAAAATAATTTTAATGTACAATCCGAAGCCAGCGATTGTCTATTGAGGGAAAAATGTATGTGTGAAATTGAATTTCGCTCGTTGACCGAGCACTAAAGCATTATTTCACGGTATGATAGTATGCCGATAAAATATATTGCCTTATATAAACGCCGATGTTTTGTTTGTAAAATCGTATTCCATGTTCACGTCAAAATTTAATATTTATTGTTTTGCTTCTGATAGTGTAGTAGAGATATTAATTAAGGGAATGTCTTGATATGATACAATGTATTTAAGCGAACTTTTTACCTGCGCTAGATTTTACGAGTACCATAAGTATTGACCATTTAATTATATGTATACTAGTGGTCAATATATTGACTTATGTTACTTCTTACTAACATTATAAATGCAAAAGTCTAGATGGATGGACGTTTGTAACTACGTATATATCTCCAGAACGGCTTAAAAAATCATTTGTTTGGCAAAAATATAGAACATAGTGTGCAAGAACATATTGACAATTAAGTTTATTTAAATTCCAACGCCAGCATACGTTTGTTTTTGATTAAATAGTTTTAAAGACATTATAAGAATAATAAAGTTTCAAGTTACATTTTTCAAGTAAAAATCCAAAATAAAAGGTAGGGGGACTAGTAGAATTCCTAGAATTAGGACACATATTACACGTTTGTAACGAAATATGTAAATATTTCTTGTATTATAGGTTCTAAATCTATTAATGTAACTAGTATTCAATTTATTTTTTGCCCATATCCATGTAATCTTGTTTACCTTGCACATGTAAACGGCTTAAATGTTTGTTAGTAATTTTTAGCTGCAAACAGATACGCATATATCTAATTGGGACAATTTCATAATCGCAAATTCACAACGAAGGTCTTACGATGCTCTTACGCAATCAAATCGCAACTAAGTTAATGTTAAGTAAAATAAAAAGTAAAGCAATTTCGTTACTGACAATCAAGTCCAGCTTCTTCCGTATGTATATAGACTAAAACTATACAATACTAGCCTCTGCCAGCGACTCTGTCTGCGTGTAATAAAAAAAAACAAAAGCCCATGTGTACTTCCAGACTATCCTCAACAGTGCCAAACTTAATCGAGATCCGTTCAGCAGTTTAGGCTACAAACTCTAACAAACATCCATCTATCTATCTAAGCTTTCGTATTTGTGATATTATAGGAAGAAATAACAAGAAATATATAAAATACTTGTTTTTTTATGCTGCGCGGCGAAGTAAGTTTATTACGTTGCTAATTTAATTAAAATGTTTCTTATTGATAAATAAAACGTCGACTATAAATTTGTATTGCGAACAAACTGAGGAGTGGAACTTATTGCTATGTTTAATGAAAAACTTTAATGAGCCGGAGAAAGTTGCAAGAAGCTATTAATGGCGTTCTTCTTAATTATAACTTTTTCTCTTGATGAAAGATAGTTTCTAATGTATACTTACACTACAATGTATATGTCACCGATCGATTTTGATCTTCGTTAGTTTATAATCTGGCTAAATTTAAAAATTGATAAGAAAATTGTATCATAAAGATGATTCATTGAGATGAACTAAGTTATGATTAATAAGTTAATCCAGTTACCACTGCGTACTTAAACCTAGTTTTAGAGTTTAGGGTAAGAACTGGGTTACCGTCCAATCCCTCAATACTTAAGTAACTTTTTTTTATAAACTAAGGTGGTAAACAATTAAATCCGCCAAAATGGCGAAGTGACCGCTGCCTATAGACACCAGCAATTGCAGATTGCACGCGCTGTCACTTCAGTTTAGCTGGCCAACGGTGACATGTTACCTATGAGTAAAAGGCGAAAAGAGATACAACCCCAACCCATAATAAAACAATATTTTAAGGTACATATAAAGCGTAAACTATAATGGAAGAATGTCTATTATTTTCATTTCCTTGTTACATTATTCGTTAACAAATTGTATAACTGTAAATTGTGGAGAATCCAATGAATAACATCGCTAAATCAAAGCACAGAGATTCGATGATTAACATTTTACACAGAAAGCTTTTTACCAGATTCAATTCGCTGTGAAATAATTTATTAAATAACATACGTAAGGGCTATTGTATAACGATTTCCTTGAAATAAAGTTACAGTATGACTTCGTATTTGTTTCCGTCGGCAATCGGCACGGATATACTTTACCCTTCTAACCTTTACTTGAGTTCAAATACAACTTGTACTAGGAGCCAGAAAAAAGGTGTAACATTTTTAATCTATACTATTATAATAAAGCGTAAACACACACTTCATTGTTGCCTAAGATGCAATTACAGCATATTTTTGAATAATTCTTTTTTTTAATGAAAAATGGCACTTTAGGCTATATATTTTTACGCCCTATAATCCCTAATGTGAGAAAGATACCATAAGTTGTTGCCAACATCAAGGAAGCAAGATTGCCATAGTAAGGTAATTGGTATTTTGACATTTGCAATTGAGAATTAAACAAATGCAAACAATAAATTTATAATTTCATGCGGATGAAGCCGCACGCGAACAGCTAGTAATATGTACATAATCTAATATTTTTTTTAATATCTAAGATTAATATCCTTTTAAGTTACCTTGTTTTTATTTTTATGCATCTAAAGTCTGAATATGTTATTATTATACATTATTAATGTTTAAAATTACATCTCTTTTACAGGAACATTCATTTTTTATCATATAAATCGATATAATTGCACTTTTTATAATATCTTTAAAGTTTTATGCAAAATAAGTCTTTGCGTGTTTCTAACACTTATAAAATGATGAATTTCTAATTCTTTACAATAAATATTTATAATTTAAAAAGAAGATAATTTAAACGTATCTTTTTTAATTACTATTATAGCTGTATAAATCATATCACAGTTTTGATTTAATTCACTATAAGCCTCTGTATCTACATATTTAAATTTTTACGTTGTAAAAATAAATAAGATTCTAAATGAATTCCAGTTTACCTTTAATTAAATTGGCGTGTGAGCGCGACGGTAAGATTCTTCCCGGACCGTGCGAGTGGAAGCGAGATGGCTATATTTAAAATTGAAATTCCATATCGGAATATTTCATTTCACTCACCTTGTACATGTTATACATTTTGTAGCATCTTTCTTGATCGTCCATGATAACTTGAGAATCCATTTTGAAATTATCAACGTTTTATCGAATACGTGCACTATTTATAGATCGCGTATTGTTTTTATATCACTGTCTTAATTGTTTGTTTTGAAAACTAAATCCTTTTTTACATAGTCTATGTTAATTTTTACCATTTTCTATAAAGCAATCGTATTTAAAAAAGACATTATTGAACATGAAAATAAATAAAAACATTAAAAAATATTAGGAAATATTCTTGAAAAATCTTGCAAATTGAGTTTAGATTCTAGCATATGTGATACAATTTTGTCTTTTTACTTCCTTTAACATAACTTTCTTAAAAAAACCGGTTTAACACACGGTGACATTTAACATAATTTTTTATAAAAAAAAATAAAAAAACTCTCGTATTGTTAGGAGGAAGATAATATCAAAATGAGTAATAATTGGGATAAAAAAACTGCTCAAGGTCAAAAAGAAGCAGGTACTTAAAAAAATGAAAACAACAACAAATAAGAATAATCAAGGGGGGATTGTTTTACAAGGGTTTATCAATGGGAGATAGGCACAGTCGCAGCGAGTAGCGAGTTGTACCGAGGTGTCGTAGGCCGTCAGCGGGAACGCCACGTGGGCGGCACGCGGCGCGAGCTGGCGCGGCGGGACACTTGCGGAGCCGCGAGGGAGCGCCGCCCGGAAACCGAGGTGCACCGGGGCTCCTCGAGCACAGAGAAGTGGCGGCCCGCGGCGCGCGCCCCCCTGCGCCGCCACCCCCCTTGCGCGCTCCCCGCGCCGCACACACCCCGCAGCCTTCGTCTCCGCGCCACCACTCACCCCGCATACTATATTCGCTTTAATCGCGAATTAAGGTCCCAGTAATGTTTCTGTGAGCTTAGAGCTTAATTTGATGATATTCATTACGTCAGACCCGAAACAATAACACGCCTCGTGTAGCGCTTTTAATTGATAAACGATTATACATGACAGTCATTATGTTCTTTACAAATGGAATCAAATTGGGCGATGAAAAAAAGCTCTCTTAAATGTTGTAGATCGTAGACAAGTGTCCTTCTGGACGAGCCACTTGACCCGTCGCGACGGGGCAGCTCTGGGCCTTTATATCCGCATTATCTAACCTCATCTCACCTACATTTTGTCACAAATTGTATTT